TGTAAAGGTGGGACACAGAACATGTGGCCAGTGGTTCACAGGGTGGTCTGGTAAGTATTGATAGTATGAGGTTGAGGTTCCATTGTGGTGCAGATTTCACACTGGTGGGAAGGTCCTAGCTAGACCTTTCACAAATCTAATTATTGTTGGGCGAATAAAAATGGACGAGTGTCCTAACAGAGGATAGAAGGCACTGATTGCTGTTAGACAGACCCACAGGGAACTAATAGAAAGCCCTGAAGTCTTCAGGGACAGGAGAGAGTCTCAAAATAGAGATCTGCAGGTTCTGGAAATGACTGATTTCTCTATCTGGAAACAAGGTAATGTCTCCATTTAGACAGATAACATTTTCTGGTGGAGTCTTTTCTACTTTCATTGAGAATAGACTGAACAGCTTGCACGCATGGACATCTTAAATCTGATGCCCATCCAAATACTAGGCCGTGAAGTGAAGGGGGCCTGGATTGGGACAACTGGTCTTGCTGTTCTTGTGATTTAAAAGATTTGGGAAGGGTCAGATATTGAGGAGAGGATGGGATGACATTCGCAGAAGGTCCAGAAATCAGAATTATCTGGGCCAGTACGGTGCTAGGACAACAACCTGAATTTTGTCACAACAAATCTTTAGCAGAACTTGTGGTTGTCAGGCAGGGATGGCAAATATGGGGCTATTGCCTCACCTGGTGAGGATGATGAAACACCTGCTATCACCATTGCCTGTGGATCTGGCTCAATTTCCTCTCCCTCATACTCAGACAGAGCCAGTTGGTGTTGTGTAGGAGATGGTCAATGGGACTCCTGGACAGATCCAGCACGTCTAACGCAGGGATTCCATGGACCTCAATAGGGTCAATATGAAGGACTGACCGGTCAGGGGGATCCCACAGCATCAGATACTATCATTCCCTCGAACAGTCATATCAGGGTGGAAGATGGACTCCAGATCAAGTCCTTGTCTGAACTCGCCTCCCTATGTGGGGACGGGGAGAGGGGGGAGAATGAATGAATCAGAAGCTCTAGCTGAACCAGAGACAAGGCTGGTTCCTGTTGGACTGGTGAAGCTGTCAATACCGGTGGGTGAAAGCTTCTGCCTATGGGTGGGAGAGGGAAGCATCCCCATCGCATCTTTTCCTTTTCTGGTGTCAAAGTGTGTCTCAGGAGGATTGGTCCTGAAAGAAGAAGAGATTGAGGATAGAGAAGGGTGAAGATATCCTTCAGGGAACTGTAGGTTTCAGTTAGTCCCAGAGCAGAGGGTAGTCCATTAATTAGAACGGACAGATACAGCACAACCGTGGTCAAACTGGATGGCTGGTCCTTCCAGGTATGGGTGAGTACTGTCAAAGTGTCTAACTGGGAACTTTTAGATGGTGGTTGTGGTGCCGATTCTTAGGCTTGAGTCAGAGCTGTCACTGGTACTGGTGGATCCTTTCTGCTTCATGACTTATCCTCATGTTTAGTGTTTAAACAGGCTGAAATCCTTAGGACCCACATGCAAGGACTCACTTGACTGACAGTCGGAGAAGGATCCCTTCTTTTGGAGGCAGGCCTGGAAAGAGATCTCACCTTGTGTTTATAAAAGAGTGGCTCTTACTCTCATGAGAAGCCCCAGTTGATGATGCCTTGGGCTTGCTTAGCTCTGGCTTTCACTCCTGAACTTGTGTGCCAAGGGGTGATGCTCATTGATTGAGGCCGATGTATGCAAGGGAGGTCTCCCTGGACCAGATCCGACTGAGGGCTCCTGGCCATCTCCACAAAATGTTTTCTTAGATAGCGCTTTCACCCCTCATGGGTTAGTGGAGGGAAGGCGTGGCAAATGCTGCACTTAGCTGAGATATGAAACCTCTCCCAGGCTATAGAGGCAGTACCTGTGTTAGTCGGTCATAGAGAAGGAGCAGGGGCAGGAGAGTCAGCTCTTAAGCCTGGGCCTTGTCTTTGTCCACAGGGAGAGACTCCCCAAGGAGGGGAAAAAGCTAAGCTATACGAATTAGTGTTTTAGTCTTACAGTATAAACACTAAAATACTAAAAACTATGTACAATATATTTACAGCTTCTGAAGAGGAAACATGGAGGTATCTATGGACACAGAGAATTCTGACTCAGGCCATTTGGTGGTAACCAGGAACTAGAGAGTCATCTGTCCATACTGACCTTTATACCCTTGGTTTGAAGCATGAGGGCAACTACGCAGACAAAGACACTACTTGCTAGAAATCTCTGATCTCAGGCATATAGGGACCAGCTCTTGAACATTAGTATGCTCCTGTGGTTTTACTAGTCATTCATCTTTTCCATGGGTGGTAAGATGGCAACAAAACCCACTTCTCCCACCATGACTGAATTGAGCAAACTGCAGATGCTGAAATATGAAAAAAAAAATTTCCAACAGAAAAAGTTGATGAGTGCTGCTCAACCTTCCAGTTATGTCAGAAAGCAATGAAATAATGGTATGCACAGTAGCGTAGTCAAGCTAGGTAATACGCTGGGTGCGCACACTGCTAAATTCAAGTTGTGTATCTTCCACTTCCCACTGTTGATAGGCAAATTAGTCCCTCCCCCAATGCCAGGATTTTAACAGGAAAGGAATCGCTATTTCCAAGTTCACATAAGCAAGCCTCGACTTTTCCCTTTTGGCTTGGCTTCCAGTCTCACTCACATACAAGATGTCACCATGCTGTCATGTAATGAATGATCCTTCAAAGGTTTCAATACCTTTCCCCACTAAATTTTACCAGTCAGAGGAAGGGACATGTCCACTATTATGCAGGATGCTGACCAGGATCTCCAGAACATCAATCTCAGTGAGAGCTGCCTTACACAACTAGAGAAAGCCTTTGCATTTTCTCAAGATTCACTACCAGGGAAGCAGCCAGTTCAATGAATAAGAACACACGCTTCACAGCAAAAAAACAGAGTCAATATGGTGCCTATCACTTGGAGTAGCACCTCTAACCAGCACTTTCCGCTTGTTCATAAACGAAGTTTCCTTCAGCACAGCTAGGACTTGTTCCACACAACATGGAATGTAGGAAGCATGCTTAGATTTTAGCATGATAGAACTGAACAACTATATATCATACACTCACTGGAAAGCCAGCAATAACTATAAATATTCAGAGGGAGACCACACTTGTTTAATTTGCACTAAAAACTAGTCTGGGATCCAAAAATCTAAAAAACCAAATCTGACACATTTATTCTAAAACGGATTTTAATCCATGGACTTTTAAACATACCACATCAACAATGTGAGTGTGAGTGAGTGTGTATAGGGGGGCAAAGGAAAAATTAAGTTCAACATACATTAAAAGTGTTACAATGCACAAAGCACATTGATCTATGAAAACACCTTGCTATTCACGTGTGAGGATCAGCAAACATCAAAATCATATTCTGTCATGGGTGACTTTATAGCAAATAATTACAAGATTAAACTGCTAGAGCAGGTGGGGAAAGTGGTGGAGCATGAGGGAAGGATATTAGTAGTAGGGGAGAAGGGCCGAGACTTCTAGAAGTAGTGATAAGCTTTTAAGAGCTGTTAGAGTGGAGAGGCAGATGTGGGTGTAGGTGGGACAGAAATCCTCCTGGGATCTGAAGAGCAGGTCACAACAGGACCCCTTCATTTGCAGGAAGGAGTGGGAGTTTGTGCATGGCACATGTCCAGAACTGGAGCCATAATGGCATAAAATTTAAGAGGCATTTTTATTAGGCACCTATAATTCCATCTGTTTTGATAATTACGTACATCTACTGAGCCTCGCTATCATGTTTTACGACTCCAAGTTTATCCATCTATCCTTTCTTCCCTCAGAGTGCTCTTCACCATAATAGATTTCCTGCTCTACAGACAACTGTCTGCCCACAGTAAATGTGAACATAAAGCTACTGAAATGGTGGAGAGTGTTAGTATTCAAATGAACCTAATAAGGGCACACAAGTCTCCTCAAATTGAAGTTTTTCCATAAACTGTGGTCTTACAACATTTTGGGGGGAGGGGGAAAGAAAGTTAGCAAGCTTCTCCCAACACAGTACTGATAAAATTACCACCCAAAGTAAGTAGTCTGGAGCCCCATTGGTTTCTGTTTTATCAAAAATATTTTCAAAGTGTGGCACTGTAGGGAGTGTCTGAAAGTTGTGCTGCTTTAAACTATGCTAGTATAGCGGTACAATCCCTCTAGTGCAGTGGTTCTCAAACTTTTGTACTAGTGACCCCTTTCACATAGCAAGCCACTGAGTAAGACCCCCTTATACATTAAAAACTTTTTAGTATATTTAACACTATTATAAATGCTGGAGGCAAAGTGAGGTTTGGGGTGGAGGCTGACAGCTCGCCACCCCCCCATGTAACAACCTTGCGTCCTGATCCCCAGTTTGAGAACCCCTGCTCTAGTGTGGATGCAGCTATACTGGTACAGCCTATTCACATACAGAAAGGAAAACAAGTATCCAGACTAGTGCTTGTACCAGTATAGCTATTTTTAACTAAAAGTCTCATCCCTAACTGAACTGGTAAAGCTTTTCAGTGTAGACCAAACCTTATGCTAGTCAATAGGGTAAGAAGTTTAATTTTAAAGATTCTACAGCTACTATACATTAAAAAAGACAAAACCTATACAAGACTGAAAAAGTCATGCACCAGGACACAGTTTCAATCCAAAATTGAGGCCCAAAATATTGATACAGTCATAAATTCCCCAAAAGGGGTTGCAATGGAAGCATTCATAAAAAGATCAGTGTACATTGGGACAAGCATCACTCCTACATTAACTGTTTCCTAATGAAGGCGTGAATTGTTTGTTCGTCTTTTTAAATTGTGAAGACATTTTTACGAGGCTTAATCTTTACACCATGGTTTATAAACGCTCATTTCAAATCTATTCACAGCAGAGAAACATCCATAATATAAAGCAATGTTGAAGCAACATACTCTCTCATACAAATGTGAGCAAAAACAAAGGTAGTGACTGATACCGTTGAACCGTTTAATTAAAAAAAAAAAATCAAGAATTCAACAGTGCCTAAATCTTTATTTTTCATAACCTACATATTTTTCAAATTAGACAGTTTTACATTTTATGACACAAAAGGAAACTTAAATTACCAATAGTTTACATGTAAGCTTGATTCCAGTCTTAATGGAAGAAGTAGAACAAAAACAAAAACCCTCAAAAAAGCTTCCATATTACACTTCTATGTCATGAATTGGCAGCTGTTAGCTCTCCTTGAAAGTCTTCGATTGTCTGCTGCTATTAGTGTAATAGGTTACAAAGCACATAAAAATCCCTAACCGTCGCTAGCTGAAGGAGATATAGAGATAGGTATGCACCATTACAGTCAGCTGTTGCTTGTGATACACTGCATCGCACCCACAAACAAGGGCCTTTCCATATTAACTGCTGAATCTTCAGAAGATAATGCAGCAACATAAAAGTTTGCCACTTTCCACTGATTTCTAAGTGGCAAATTATGATGTCATGGTGGGGACTGATCTGAAATGAAATTCACATTATGTCTCAAAACCAACTTTTGTTTCAAATACATTCCTGGAACAAAAGTCTCAAATCCTGTGTTAACTTGTTTTATACTTCCAAATGAAAAGCATCACCACACAATCCTACAAGTTAAAATGCCAATTTTAATTACTTTATCTCTGAACCTGTAACTCAGATACTGCTTTCTGGGAAGATTTTTTCCTTTTAACTTTTTAAAAGCCACATGTTAATAGCTATAGGAACCATAGCAACAGTCTGCATGCAACATCACAACTTTCTACTCTGAAAGTCCATTTTGTCACTGAGTGGAAAAATCTCAAAGTAAATGCAGCAAAGATAAGTTTTTGTATATTATATACAGCTACTTGGCAGGTCACTTTTGCTTATTTTTAAAAAGCTATAAAACCACATCAGAGCAAGGTTTAAACTCCTGTTGCAACAGACTGTTGCTGGGTAAGCAGTAATTACAGTGTATTGACCTAGTACAAATGGCAGCAGAATACATTAGAACAGCACAACACAATCCGCTGGTCTCAATATATTACCTTATGTCCCAGTTGGCTATTATGATTAGCTGTACACTGTTGCTGTAAGTGACCATTTTGTATTGTTTGCAGCTGTTGAGGTTTATACTTTCAGCAGGCAAACAACAAATCACACAGCTGGCCTAAACCATATACAAGTCTAGCTGCCATTTTCACTGCCCACTGGGGAAAGGATAAGTATTAAAATCCAATGACAGAACTGGTTTCTAAATTTTGGTGATGTTCACTGTTGTCAGAGTCCTATCTCCTCCAACAGAATTCAAAGTGTGCTTTTTAACCAAGGAACAAACAAATCCCATCTTGCCCATGTTAACCAACTCTGCAGTACACAGCAGGCTGGATTTAAAAGGTCAACTCATTGCTATCAGATGTCTGCAGTATAAAAATTGCTAGGAAATTAACTGCTACTTTTACACTTTTTATTTATTTTTTTTATTTATTTTTACACACAGCCATAGTCAAGCTCATTATCCATCTACGTAAGCATGGATACTCTCCCTGGAAGAGATGGTCAAATAAGCTTCAGGGTGTTTTTTCCTGGTGATTTGAACTATTATCCCAATGAATTTATTTGATTTTATTACTGGGATTTTTAAAATTTCAGCTGAACCGCTAGACTGCCAGAGTTTGCTATTTACATTATGTTACGGAACACCTATTGGTTGAAATGCACACTTTTAGAGAGACTATTATGAAAACATTTGAGGGCTTTGAAATAAGACTTTCTTTCCATTTCCCTTTTGCAGTGAAGAGGCAGAGTCAGTTCAGCACACCAGAATAAAATAAAAAACAAAAAACAACAAATTAAAGTAATATTCAAACCACAACATTTAGTTTATCTACATCCAGCTCAACAGCAACATTTATAATATATCAATAATTTTTATCAGATTTTTTTTCTTTAGGGTACCTTTTTATATGTTCTGATTATTTACAACTGTACAAGCAAAGCACACACTTCCAAGTGCACATATTTAATACAGTATTGACTATTTGCATTTACAGATTTTTCAACAATCTGAAAAAGATCAACTGTTTAAGATCTTTAAGGTATATTACAAAAACTGCTGCTAGTTCCTGTACTACAGTATGTTTACCCAGTAAGACCAGTGACAATAGATACATACTGTAACTGAGTAATTCTGTAATTAACTCATGCTAACCCTTAAGGGGGTCAGACTTCATTAACTCTAAGCTGTCTTATACAAAAGTTAAGGCAAAGTCATTTTCAAGTTTAAATAAAATTCAAGTCTTTAAATATTGGATGGAAATAATTCTTTAAAAAAATCAGTTGTTTAAACAAACATTTTTGTGGAATAAACTGTACTGTTATATTCAGCAGGAAAGAGGTTTATCTGAACTGCCTGCTATTTAAACACTTAAAGAAAATTTTTAGGCATTTTAAAACAAAAATAATTTATATTCAACTTTATTAGAAGCTTGCTAATTTAGTGCATCCTTGTCCTTCAGAAAGCGCATCACTTCTAAAGTAAATACAAGTGTGAGAAACCTCATCCCAGAGGTAAATAGCAGGGATCTCTTCCTCCACCACAAAAAACAAATACCATTATCTCAAGGTTTGAAAAATTTAAATCCACATGCCAATGCTTGTAGTTACAGGAAGACGTCAACACTAGGCTGACTAAGATATGAACTCTTTCAAAGAGCACTTGGGGCCAAGTTAAAAAAAGTCTACACTGAGCACAGGGATAAACTAGAAAGTACAGTAATGACTAGTTAACTCCATCCTGGTGAGGGGGAAGTTTAGATCATCACAAGAACACTACTGTGCTTTCTTGTGATAACAGCCATTAGCAGGCTTCACCACTATAGAAGCTCACAACCTCAATTTTTTTTCTATTCACAATGTGCTTTGTATTTGGAAATTATAGTATTCATTTTATTCTGGAGTGAGAAGCTGGTTACTTGCTTGCAGTACATCCGAACATAAATATTTTAGAAAATCTCTATTGGTGCTCTCTGGAGGACTTACTTTTTTTTGCAGAAGACATCAAAAAAGATTAGTTTTAAAAAAATGCTATAATCAACTATTAGTTTAACCTAAAAGTGCAAGTTTATTAACTGATACTTGGAACAGCAGCCCAATAAAAAAATCCTCAAGGTCATATTCATACTATTTTGTACGATATACTTTTTTTCATGCTCTACGCTAGCTGCCATTATCAGTCTTTTGGACATTTTAGAGATATAGTTACTTGCAGACCAGTTTATTAAAAAATTGCAGCAGCACAGTTCTGCTTAATAGTTCAGGAATACTCACTATATTGAGCTTGTATTCATATTGCCATAAGGAGGCTTGATAAAAAAATTGATTTTTTAAGATAACACATTTTCTATCTTGAAAATAATCAGACTAAGCATCACCTCCAGTTAAGCACCAACCTAAATATAAGGTTTAGATCAATTAAATCCTGGAAAAATAGAATGTTTGCTCAAGAGGGTAAAAAATTATTTCATAGAAGAAAAAACTTGCAGGCATTCTATATGCCTAGCAGCACTGCAAGCTCCCTAACCAGCAACTCATTCTCTGTACTCTGAGTGGGAACATGGGTTTTAATTTGTGGGAAGTAGAACTCTTTTCAACCCCCTCCCAAGCATTAGTTTCACTGAGGAGACTTTGGGGGGGTGTTCTGTTCTTTATTTAAACGTTTCCCAACAGCTGGAGGGGGCGATCTGCGCCCTGACTGTCTCCTCTGGTCTTTGGGCTGTCCTGGATTTGACTTTGTGGGAGGGGGTTCTCTGTTTTTCTCTATTGTTTCTGTGGGTTTTCTTTCATCTTTCCCACAAGCTACAGTGTTTGGCTTCTGTTCTTTCTGGGGCTGCAACGTAGGTGGATCCTTAGTTGTTCTCTGGCAAATCTCTGCATAACTAGGTTTTCGTAGTTCCTGTGAAATGGAAGGTAAACACAAGACACTGAAGTTAAAACAGTATTAGTCTTCATTGTGACTACATAGCACAGCAATTATGCATGATAATATATGCATCTACAGGGAAGATTTAGCACAATCTAGCATGTGAAGTTCATGCAAGTAGTATTACAGCCAAGGCTGGCTGTAAGCAAGAGAGAAATCTTCGAGTAACAGGTTTATCTCTGAACAGCAGAGTATGACCTCCCATCTGAACCTGAACAAGACGGTGGGAACAGGGGTAAAGAATTATCTCCTTTTAAAAGTTTAACACATATTTGCTAATACTAAGACTGCCTACTTTGGAAAAAGTGTTATCTACGTTTTATAGCTGTTGTTCTTTGAAATGTGTTGCTCATGTCCACTCCATGTTAGGTGTGTGTGCACCCACCTGCATGGTTGTCAGAAATTTTTCCCTTAGCGGTATCCATAGGGCTGGCTCTGGCGCCCCCTCTAGTCCCATGCTCACGTGCCAGTATAATGGGTGCCGCCAGCCCCGCACCCTCTCAGTTCCTTCTTGCTGTCAACTGAGACAGTGGGGAAGGAGGGTTGGGTCATGGAATGGACATGAGCGACATCTCAAAGAACAGTTACAAAAGGTAGATAACCGTTTTTTTCTTCAAGTGCTTGCTCACGTCGATTCCATGTTAGGTGACTCACAAGCAGTAACCATGGAGGTGGGCTCGCAGTTCATGGTTGTGCGGCTTGCAACACTGCTTTGCCAAAGCTGGTGTCGTTCCAGGCCTGCTGGGTGATGGTGTGTTTGGACGCGAAGGTATGAACTTAAGACCAGGTATCGGCTCTACAGATATCTTGAATTGGTACCTGCACGAAGAAAGCTGCTGAAGAAACTTGCGCTCTAGTGGAATGGGCAGTCACGATCGCCGGTGGTGACACCCCGGCTTGTTCATAGCAGAACCTGATGCAGGCAGTTATCCAAAAGGAAATCTTCTGAGAGGAAACGGGCAGGCCCTTCATTCAGTCTACCTCTGATGAAAAGCTGGGTCAACTTATGGAAGGGTTTAGTTCTCTTGATGTAGAAGGCTAAAGCCCGTCTAACATCCAAAGAGTGTAACTGTTAGACTGGTGAGGCTTCGGGAAGAAGACCAATAGGAAGATGTCCTGATTATAGGACACTGCGAACGCTGGATGGGGGTGGGGAGGACACTGCGAACGCTGGATGGGGGAGTAGCTGGACTTTATCCTTATAGAAAACCGTGAAGGGGTATTCTGACATGGAAGCTCTGATCTTGGAGAACTGTCGGGCCGAAGCGATTGCTACCAGGAAGGCGACCTTCCACGAGAGAAGCAGCAGAGAGCAGGATGCCAATGGCTCGAAAGGAGGACCTGTGAGCTGAGAGAGAACCAGATTCAAGTCCCACGGAAGGATTGGATCGCGGATCTGAGGGTAGAGCCTCTCCAAGCCTTTCAAGAACCGGAGCATAATTTCATGAGAAAAGACCAATCTGCCCTGGATCAGAGGATGAAAAGCGGAGATAGCTGCCAAATGCACCCTGATTGATGAAAGGGCCAGGCCTTGGAGTTTGAGGTGAAGCAGGTAGTCCAGGATGGATTGAAGCATGGACTTGGAGGGGGAAGATCCAACTGGTAAAGCGTTTCCACTTGGCCTGGTAGATCACCCTGCTGGAGGTCTTCCTGCTATCCAGCAGGATGTGTTGCACTTGAGCCGAGCAGGCCTGTTCCTCAGCATACAGCCACGCAGAAGCCACACTGTCAGACAAAGGGACACTAGGTTTGGGTGGAGCAGATGGCCCTGGTTCCGCGAGAGTAGGTCCATTTGGAACAGGAGTTCAAGCAGGGTTCAAGCTATGGAGAGATCCACACACGTGCCGAACCAATGCTGTCGAGGCCATGCTGGAGCCATCGTGATTTTTGCCTTGCCTCTCGATCTTCAAGAGGATCTCGTGCAGCAGGGGTATTTGGCGAGAAAGTTCATAGAAATGCCTGTCCACAGGAACAGAAAGGTGTCCAATAGGGAACCTCTATCGAGCCTGTCAATTTAACCAAACTGCTGACACTTCCTGTTCAGTCTGGACGCAAACAAGTCCACCTGGGGAGTCCCCTGTGGGTGGAGTGACCACTTGAGGCAAGACGAGAAGGACCTGCTGAGGAGAGCTGACAGTGAATTCCTGGCCCCCGGGACGTGCAAAGCCACAAGATGAATGGCATGCTGCACAAAGAAGTCTCATAACTGGAGAGCCTCTTGGCACAGGGCTGATGAGCGAGCTCCATCTTGTTTGTTGATATAGAACATCGTGGCGGTATTGTCTGTCAGGATTTGAACAACTCTGCCCATCAGGTAGGGAAGAAACGCCTGGCAGGCCAAGCGTATCACTCCGAGTTCCCTGACATTTATATGGAGGGAACAATCCTATGACCAGAGACCTTGTGCGCGGAGGACATCGAGGTGGGCTCCCCACCCCAGATTCGACTCAGAGACCAACATCATTGATAGAGATGGGGCTGTGAAGGGAATCTCTTCCAACACCAATCAAGAGTCTGTCCATCAAGACAGGGATGACAGGATGTGCGATAGGACTGTGACCAGTAGGTCCAAATCATGTCTGCTGGGAGCGTAGACTGATAACAGCCATATCTGCAGGGGTTTAAGGCATAGACATGCATGTTGGACCAAGTACATGCTACCATGTGGCCCAGCAGCTTGAGGCATATCCAAGCACTTGTGAGCGGGTGTGGCTCTTAAAAGCATGATGAGGTCCGACATGGCTTGGAATCAGGACTCCAGCATAAAGGCCCTGGCCTGGGTAGAATCAAGTACTGCTCCTATAAACTATTCGCTGAACTGGGGCTAGATTTGATTTCTGCTCGTTCATAAGCAGACCTAGTTCCTGACAGGTGGCCCACAACAGATCAAGGCTGTGCTGAACCTGGGCTGATGACCTGCCTCTGACAAGCCAGTTGTCTATGTTTTGGTAGATCTGCACCCCTCAATGCCCCAGGTAAGCGGCCACTACTGCCATACACTTTGTGAAGACCCTCAGAGCAGACGAAAGGCCGAAGGGCAGTGCCGTGAATTGGTAATGGCACTGGCCCACTACGAATCTGAGGAATCTTGTGTGACCATGGAAAATAAAAGTATGGAAATAGGCATCCTTTAATCTAGAGATACCAGTCTCCTGGATCCAGAGAGGGGATGAAGGAGGCCAGGGAGACCACATGGAACTTCAATTTCTTGAGATATCTGTTGAGGTGACGCAGGTCTAGGATGGGTCTGAGGCCCCCCTTGGCCTTTGGGATTAGAAAATAGCGGGAATAAAACCCCTTTCCCCTCAAACCTTGAGGAATTTCCTCTACAGCCCCTACCCATAGGAGGGTTTCCACCTCCTGGATGAGAAGACTCTTGTGAGAAGGGTCCCTGAAGAAGGAGGGGAGCGGGGGGGGGGGGAGAAAAGAGAACTTCAGGGTGTAACCAGATGTTGTGGTGTTGAGCACCCAAAGGTCTGAGATAATTCAGGCCCATGCAGAAAGGAACGGGGACAACCAGTGCAAAAATAAAAGGGGGGCTGGATCCTGGGGTTAGTCTGGTGTGTTGCCCTAGGGCACACCCTCAAAATGTTTGCCATGGGCCACCCGAGTGGCGTGTGGGGCCTGACTGTGGGGTCGAGGAGAATGGGGAAGATTGGTGGCATTAAAAAAGTCTTTCCTTATATAGGAGCTTTGTTGAGATGGACCTGGGCAGCGGCGGCCGGAAGTGCCTCCTTGAGGTCGGAGATGTTTAGAGCCCAAAGGAGCACAGGGTGGCCCTCGAGTCCTTCAGCCCATGCAGCCTGGTGTCCGTCTGCTGCGAAAATAGGGCATTACTCTCGAATGGGAGGTCCCGGATGACAGCTGGACCTTGTTCAAGAGCTCTGAGGACTGCAGCCACGAACTGTGTCGCATGGAGAGACAGCAGAGGCCATCGATGGCGCTGCCAAATCAGCTGCATCTAACGCTGCTTGAAGAGAGGCCTTGGCCACTGCCTTGCCCTCTTCCAAGAAGGCCAAGAACTCGTCTTGACTCCTGGGCAGAGTCCCTGACCTTGGCCATTGAATGCCAAGTGCTGTAATTATATCGCTCCAGCAATGCTTGCTGATTGGTGATACGTAGCTGCAGACTGGTAGTAGAATACACTTTTACATTGGCAGTAGAATACCAAAAAGGTCAAGTTTCATAGGGTCTTTATTTTTAGGGGTTGCGCTAGATTGCCTGTCTGTCCTGTTTGTTGGCAGGTGAGACCACCAGTGACCATGGGGGTATAGGGGTGGGAGTACATGTATTCAAAGCCTTGGGCAGGGACATATTTTTTTCTCTGCCCTTTTAGATGTTGGGGGCAAAGAGGATGGCATTTGTCACAGTGCTTTGACGAGTTTTAAACTATATAGAAGGAAAAAACTCGAAGAATCTAAGAACAAACACCACTAGGGAACTTGTGAGAGCTAGAGAGACATTCCAACAACCGTCACAGGTGGTAAGTAGGAACTGAGGGTGTGGGGCTGGCAGCATCCAATATACTGGTGCATGAGCAGGAGACTCCAGGAGGTACCAAAACCGTTCCTCTGCATACTGCTAAGGGAAAAATTTCCAATCATCATGCACCTAACATGGAATGGACACGGGCAAGCACTCTAAGAAAAACTTTGCATTTAACCAGTTCTCTTCCCTCTTCTTGGATTATGACAGAAAAGGGCAGCAGTACCAAGAAAGAAGGGAGTTTGAAAAAAAATGTTCATTAAAAGGGAAAAATTTTTGCCAAATCAAATATCTAAATATGGAGGAGGAGGTAGTGATGGTGGTCACACCAGGGAGGTCAAATTAGCATATTGTCCAAAGCAGAAAGGACAAATCGATGAATCAAAAGAAAACATGGATACTTGCATACAGCACCACAGACATAGGCAAAAAAGCAGTTAAATATTTGAAACTAACCATACTGTCTGAGTCATTGACATGCCATCCAATTGTTGACAAAGCTCAAAAGTCATCAGATGATTTGGAGTTCTGGATAAAATAAGTGCCTCAAGCAATGTTTCCTTTAAAGGTATGTCTACACGGCAATGTAAGTCCAGGGTTTAAACTCAGGCTCAAACCTAACCCCCCCACTTCCATCTACACATAAATCCTGCTGATCCAGCGCTTGGACCCCAGTTCCCAGGACTCCTGGGGGGAGAGGGTTCCAGCCTGAGTCAAGCCAGGACCCAGGGTTCAAGCCCTACTGCTTTGCAATGTAGATGCAGCCCACCTGATTTATGCTCTGGGAGACTGCCAAAAGTATCCCACAACCCCACAGGCTGACTTTTTGTCCTCTGGACTGTCAAGTTTGGTGGACAGTCAAGTTTACACACACACTGCACCATGAACAAAGGACCAGAGTGGCCACATTTTGGGAAGGTGCTAGGAAGTCTGAGATATGGGTGGTTGGACTCAGGCCCGCATAATGCAATGTAGATAGCAGAGCCCTCGATTGGGATCCAGGTTTCAATAATTATCAACCTGAGGTTACAAATAAGTGGCGATGCTCTAGCTCAACAAATCCAGGGTCTGCTAACTTGAGTTCTAATCAACCCTGGGCTTTCACTGCAGACATTATTTACACATGTGCTTAAGGGTTTATTACACAGGCTCTGCCAACACCTACAAACATCCCCTTTTGTGATCAGTAAAGTTCACCATTACACACCTTGCTGTGCCTGGAGTACACAGGCAGTGCAGTGCAGGTTTCAGTCTCCCTGATAAATACATTAAGGTCTGAGTGACCTCCAAAAACTCCAAAAAGGTTTGGTGAGATAATGGATAGAGGTAGTGTTGGGGGATCTGGGGAAGTAACAGAGAGGAAGGAGAGGCAGCAGGGAGGGGTTGGAGTGAAACCAAACTATGGGGAAGTGGGTTAGCAAATCATGAGAAGAGGAAACGTGTTAGTTAAATGGTGCTCCCATATCAAAACTCTCCACTATGAACATAAAAAGATAACAATTGCCTAAATCGATGTTTTCTCTCCTTCCCAATGCCAAAATTGCACTTACTGGGGATCAGGAAAAAAAAAAAGTCACTCCACCTATGACTAACTGTTCCTTCTAATTTTTCAGTGAGCTGAATTTTAAATCATGGAAATACAAAAATTCTCTTGCCATTTTCCTTCAAGATGTTATACAGCTATATTATTGCAAGTAATCAGAAGAGACCTGAGGCAAAGGTAAAGATGCCGTAGGTACCAATAGACAAACAATGGAAATGCTGTACTGTTAATAAAATACATCAAGTGATAACACTTATAAAAGACAGCTAGTAATATCACTTACTATGGCAGCCCCATTGACTTGTACTGATTTACATGCAGTACTGAGCGTGGAAGAAAGTCTTTCCATACTTTGTGTCTCTCTCTGCTGCTTGTCGACAACCTTGGAGTCACTGCAAGCACATATCAGAAAGTGAATCTCATGAAAAGCTATCTTCATGCTGGAACTTGAAAAGTCAACATGTGAGCAGATTACGCATCTAAGAGTACTTTTAAATCAGACTGATTTGGACTGCAAGAAAGTTACAGCTATCTGTGAACTGACAACTATAACAGTTGTTGGGGGGAGGGATAGCTCAGTGGTTTGAGCATTGGCCTGGTAAACCCAGGGTTGTGAGTTCAACCCTGGGGGGGGGGCCCACTTAGGAATCTGGGGCAAAATCAGTACTTTGTCCTGCTACTGAAGGCAGGGGGCTGGACTCGATGACCTTTCAAGGTCCCTTCCAGTTCTAGGAGATAGGATATCTCCATTATTAAAAAAATAAAAATAAAACAGCCTTTTAAAAGTTAATTCGCTATACATTTTAAACCCTATCTTTTTAAGAAGCATATTACACTTTAATACATAACTTAAAATAAGGAACATGTTACAAATTCTAATTAAGTTTGTATTTGTTTGAAAATGGAGATAGACCAGGACATCAAAGCTCACATTTTATCTTGATATAATCCTAATGTCTGATTCTGAAGTCTCAAGTAAAACAGGGTGTAGCACACAGTACTTGGAAACAATTCTTTTATTGTATGCACAAAGTGATATTGAATATTGATTTGGGAGTTAGTCTATGCACTCCTTTGTTCTGTAAGTGTGGGTACGTCTACAATTAATGTACGCCCAGGGTTTGAACTCAGACTCAATCTTAATCCCCTTCTGTCTACACGCATATTGCACTAACGTAGGGCTCAGACCCAGGGTCTCAGGACCCCATGGGAGTGGAAGTTCAAGCCAGGACTCATGGTTCAAACCCTATTGCTTTGCAGTGTAGGCTCCACTGGACTCCTGCTCTGGGAGTCTACCAAAAGCAACCCACAATCCCAAGGGCCAACTCTTTGTCCACTGAACAGTCAATCTTGATGAAAAACGGTTACCTACCTTCTGTAACTTGTTCTTCGAGATGTATTGCTCATGTCCATTCCATTTTAAGTGTGCATGTGCCCACGTGCACAGTTGGAGATTTCTGCCTTAGCGGTATCCGTAGGGCCGGCTGTGGCACCCCCTGGAGTGGTGCTCCCATGCGGAGGTATATCAGGCGCCGCCAGCCCTGCACCTTCTCAGTTCCTTTGTGCAGGCAACTCTGACAGAAGGGTAGGAGAGCAAGTAATGGAATGGACATGAGCAACACATCTTGAAGAACAGTTACGAAAGGTAGGTAACCATTTTTTCTTCGAGAGAGCTTACTCATGGCGATTCCACATTAGGTGACTCACAAGCAGTATCCACGGAGGTGGGCTTGGCGTTCACATCTTAGCGGCTTGCAGTACTGCCCTACCGAAGCCAGCATCGTCCTGGGCCTGCTGGCTAAGAGCATAGTGGGATGTAAAAGTGTGGATAGACGACCAGGTGGCTGCCCTACAGATGTCCTGGATAGGCACATGGGCCAGAAACGCTGCCAAGGAGGCCTGCGCCCTGGTAGAGTCGGTGGTGACAATCACCAGGTGCGGCACCTTCGCTTGGTTGTAGCAGAAGCAAATGCAGGCAGCGATCCAAGAAGAAATTCTTTGAGTGGATACCGGGTGACCTTTCATCCTGTCGGCCACAGTGATGAACAATTGCGTCGACTTACGGAATGACTTGGTCCTATTTACACAGAAGGCCAGAGCCTTCCTGACGTCCTGCCCGCCTCTTCTGACTTATGCGGCTTTGGAAAGATGACCGGTAAGAAAATGCCCTGGCTCAAATGAAACTGAGACACTACTTTAGGAAGAAAAGCCGGGTGCGGCCTTAGCTGGACCTTGTCCTTGTAGAAGATGTGTACGGTGATCCGAGGTGAGCTCCTAAATCTTGGATACAGGGTGGACACTGCAACCAGGAACACGACCTTCCAAGAGAGGAAGAGAGACCAGGAAGCCAGGGGCTCAAAGGGAGGACCCGTGAGCTGAGACAGCACCAGATTCAAGTCCCATGGAGGGACAGGGTTTCTGACTTGCGGGTAGAGGCCACTCCAGGCCCTTAAGAAATCTGGCTGTGATATCCTGAGCAAAAAACAGACCTCCCCTAAAATGGCAGGTGAAAGGCTGAGATGGCCGCTAGATGGACCTTGATCGATGGGGGGACAATTACTGGAACTTGAGGTGCAGGAGGTAGTCCAGAATAAGCTGCAACGAAGCCCGCTCAGGACGAACATCTTTGTCCACAATCCAACAGGTGAACAGCCTCTACTTGGCCAGGTAGGTTGCTCTGGTGGAGGGCTTCCTGCTTCCCAACAGAACACACTGAACCTCTGCCGAGCACTGCTGCGCGTTTAACAATGCAGCTGCCAAGCCATCAGTTATATCGCTGCCAGGTTGCGGTGCAGAAGACTGCCATGGTTCTGGGACAACAGGTCCGATCTGAGCAGTAGCTGGAATGGGGTTGCTACCAAGAGGCTACCAGTGTTGGCATGGCCACGCTGACGCTATGAGGATGATCCTCGCCCTGTCCTGTTTGATCTTCATGAGGACCCTAGGCAGCAACGGTACCGGAGGGAAGGCGTACATCAGATCCTCCGACCATAGGAGCAGAAAGGCATCAGGCAGGGCTCCTCCTCCAATCGAGCAGAAGACGTGGCACTTCCTGTTCTGCCTGGACGCGAACAAGTCCACCCGGGGAGTTCCCCACCTGCAGATGATGGAGTGACCACCTCCAGATGAAGGGACACTTGTGGCAGGATGAGAACATCCTGCTGAGGTGATCTGCCAATATGTTCTTGGACCCTGGAAAGTGAGCAGCTACGAGATGGACATTGTACTGTAGACAGACGGCTTCCTGGCAAAGGACAGACAACCTGGTTCTGCCCGGCCTATTGATATAGAAAACCGTAGCCGTGTTGTCCGTCGGGACATGGACCACCCTGTCTTCTATACAAGGTAGAAAGGATGGCAGGCCAGTCGAATGGCCCTGAGTTCCCTGACATTGATATGAAGAGAACGATTGTGACTGGACCAATGGTTTTGAGGTTCCCCAGCCTAGGTCTGAGGCATCAGAGACAAGGGTCACCAACGAATATGGGGCTGTGAAGGAAACACCTTCCAACACCGACAAGGGATCCTGCTACCAGATGAGGGACGGCAGTACGCTGTCTGGAATCCTGACCACCTGGTCCCTGCTGTGCTGGTTGGGGACATAGACCGATACCAGCCATGCCTGGAGAGATCTGAGGTGGAGTCGTGCATGCCAGACTACGTAAGTATATGCTGCCATGTGGCCCAGCAGCCGCAGGCAGGTGTGGGCAGTGGTGAGCAGGTGGGCTCATAGGCCCACAATGAGGTCCACACTATGGCCTGGAATTAAGATTTGGGGAGTAAGGCCATGGCCTGAGTGGAGTCGAAGACCACTCCGATGAACTCTACGCATTGTACCAGGGTTAAGGTTAATTTTTTCTCGTTTATTATCAACCCCAGGTCTCGACAGGTCAAACAGACCAGGTTGAGATGCCTCTGCACCTGATCCATAGACCCTGGGAAGATGGAAATATCGAAGTATGTGTCCTTTAAATCGAGGGTGGCAAACCAGTCTCCTGGATCCAGGGAGGGGATTATGGAGGCCAGGGAGACCATGCAAAACTTCAACTTCTGGAGTAACTTGTTGAGGCGATGCAGGTCTAGGAAGGGTCTGAGGCCCCCCTTTGCCTTCGGAATTAGCGGGAGTAGAATCCTCTGCCTTCCATGTTTTGAGGAACCTTTTCCACTGAAAACCTCCTGAACGAGGAGTTGCTCATGAGAAGGGTCCCTAAAGAGGGACGGAGAAGGGGGTAGGAGGGGTGGTCAGCTGTCAACTGCAAGGTGTAGCCCGAAGAAACTGTGTCTAGCACCCAGCAGTCCAAGGTGACACTGGACCAGGCCGACCAGAAAGGGCAGAGGCGGTTGAGGAAAGAGAGGGTTGGATCCAGTACGATGGCTGGGGCACTGTCCTCGAGCGCACCCTCAAAATGACTGCTTCTGGCCGCCCTGACTTCTGGGAGGGTCAGGTTGGGCAGCTGGGCGGGAAGAGGATGGGTAGCATCTCTTAAGCCCTTTGTCCTTGTCCTTTCTTCGGTAGAAGCCAGACCTGGGAGCCCTCCAGAACCTAGGACCTAGACTGTGGCGGAGGAGACGGCGGCGGTGGGTGGAACGGCTTTGTGGACTGCTGAGGGGTGTGCAAACCCAGGGATTGGAGGGTGACTCGGGAGTCCTTGAACCCATGGAGCCCAGAGTCAGCTCAGAAAAGAGCCCCGAATCCCCATGTATTGTGGTCTGCATCTCCCGGAACAGCCCAGAAGCCTGCAACCAGGAGCTACGTTGCATGGCCACCGCCGACGCAACCACCATGGCAGCCGAGTCCATCGCGTTCCAGGCCATCTGGAGGACTCCATGGGCCACCACCGTGCCTTCGCTCACCAACGCGTCGAACTCTTGGGCACTATCCTGTGGGAGGGCTTCCGTAAACTTACTAAGGAAGTTCCACAGGTTAAAATTATAAAGTCCCAGCAGGGCTTGGGGGTTAGAGACCCTAAACCAGTGGTCTCCGTACTCCGGCACCAAGGGAGCCCTCCCTTGGCAAAGAAGAGGGTGACACCATCCTTCAGGCCACTCAACTGTCATAGTCATCTGCGGAGGCGGCGGTGGCTGGACCCTCCCACACCAGCAGCCCCCTGGACAACTTTAAGGAGCACCAGGCCGTCCTTAAACGGGTTGCAGAGAATCTGGGCTTGCAAATCTAAGGGCTGGTCCACACTAACCCCCCAGTTTGAAATAAGATATGCAACTTCAGCTACGTGAATAACGTAGCTAAAGTCGAAGAACCTTAGTTCGAACTTAAAGGTACTTACCAAAGGTCCACATGCGGCAGGCAGGCTCCCCCGTCGACTCCGCCTACTCCTCTCGCGGAGCAGGAGTACTGGCGTCGACAGCGAGCACTTCCGGGATCGATTTATCACGTCTAGACAAGACACGATAAATCGATCCCAGAAGATCGATTGCTTACCGCCAAACCCGGAGGTAAGTATAGACGTACCCTAAGAGGTCGCTGAGGAGGCAGACAACCTCTTCAATGTCATCTCGGCCACTACACGGGCAAAAATTGGTGCATTACCCATCCACCCAGGGGTGATCAAAATAGCCACGTTGGTGTGGCAAACATCCTCATCAATTCTGCCAACATCCAACAAAGTGGAAAGGAAATACTATGTCCCTGCAAAGGGTTTTGAGTATCTGTATATTTATCCCCCGTCCCGCGCAGCAAATGAAAGGGACAGACAAGGGCCACCCCAGCGGAACGGCCAAAACTAAGGAGGCCAAGAGATTCAACTTATTCGGGAGAAAAGTTTTTTTGACTTCCAGCTTACAGTTTAGGGCAGTGGTGGGCAACCTGCAGCCTGCGACAGTTTATTTACATTGACCGTCCACAGGCAGGGCTGCCTGCAGCTCCCAGTGGCACTGGTGGCACCATGGCCAGCTTGTCTGATGCATTCAGGGAGGGCTGGGAGTACTGGACCAGCATCACTGGCACCCCTCATGGATTCCAGTACTGCCACTTGGGGGGGGGGGGACCACGGTCCCTGCTGCGTTCGCACTGCAGCCGGTGCCCCCCTCAGTCTCCCGCGTGGGAGGGGAGTTGTCCCCCCTCGGGGCTGAAGTCGCAGTCCGATCCTGACCACTGCCCCACTGGAGACCATGGCGGGGCCGTTAAGGCCAGAGTCTGCTTACTGACCCTGGTAGGCGAATGACTGGGAGTAGCGCCACCTGCTGGAGGAGCGGTACTGGGGTGAGCGAAGTTACAAATGATTTTGAAGCCCTAGGTTAACAAAGCCAGGGAGTGCTAACTCAAGTTCTACTAAAATGGGGCATATATTTCAGGGTAGACATTCCCTGTAAGATGGTTTAAAGCAGGGATGGGGAACCTTTTTTCTATCAGGTGCTACTGACCCAGAGAAAAAAAAAAAAAAAAAAAAAATCAGTCGTGGGCCACACAGCCATGCAGAGGGGCGCAGGCTCAGGGCTTCCCCATGGCCAGTAGTGGGCAAACTTTTTGGACTGAGGACCACATCTGGGTGGGGAAATTGCATGCAGGTCCATGAATGTAGGGCTGGGGCAGGAGGTTGAGGTGTGGGAGGGAGTGCGGGGTGTGGGAAGGGGCTCAGGGCAAGGGGTTGGGGCAGAGGAGCGGTGCGGCAGGGGGCTCAGGGCAGGGGGCTGATGCAGGAGCGGTGCGGCAGGGGGCTCGAGTGCAGGAAGGGGCTCAGGGCAAGGGGTTGGGGCAGAGGAGGGGTGCACGAGGGGGCTCAGTGCAGGGGGTTGGGGTGCAGGAGGGGGTTCAGGGTGCGGGTTTCGGCCAGGAGCCACTTTCCTTGAGCAGCTCCGGGGTGGCAGTGGCACGCAGCGGGGCTTAAGGCAGGCTCCCTGCCTGCCCTGACCCTGCGCCGCTCCCATAAGTGGCTGACACCATGTCCCTGCGGCCCCTCGCCTGTGGGTACCTCCCCCGAAGCTCCCATTGGCCACAGTTCCCTGTTCCCGGCCAATGGGAGCTGCAGAGAGCGGTGCCTGCAGGCAGGGGCAGCATGCAGAACCCTCTGTCCTTCCCCCCGCACCGTCCAAGAGACACAGGGATATGGTGCCGGCCTCTTCTGGGAGCAGCGCAGGGCCCACGGTGCCACGGGGGTGGCAATCCCGTGGGCTGTATCCAAAGCCCTCACGGGCCGGATCTAGTCTGTAGGCCATAGTTTGCCCACCCCTGCCCTAGGTTCTGGGGTGGGGCCAGTAAGGAGGGGTTCAGGGTGTGGGAGGAGGCACTGGGCTGGGGATGAGGGGTTTGGCGTGTGGGAGTGGGCTCAAGGCTGGGGCAGGGGGTTGGGGTGTGGGCTCCGGCAGGGAGTTAGGGTTCAGGGCTGGGATAAGGACTTGGGGTGCAGGCTCCAGCCAGGGGGCGCTTACCTCAGGCGGTTCCCTGTCGGCAGCGCAGTGGGACTAAGGGCAGGTCTTCACTACAAGGGGGGGTCGATTTAAGATACGCAAATTCAGCTACGCAAATAGCGTAGCTGAATTCGACGTATCACAGCCGACTTTACCCAGCTGTAAGGACGGTGGCAAAATCGACCTCCGCGGCTTCCCGTCGACGGCGCTTACTCCCACCTCCGCTGGTGGAGTAAGAGCGTCGATTCGGGGATCGATTGTCATGTCCCGACGAGACGCAATAATTCGATCCCCGAGAGGTCGATTTCTACCTGCCAATTCAGGCGGGTAGTGTAGACCTAGCCTTAGGCAGCCTCTCTGCCTGCCCTGGCTCCACACTAAGCAGTGGGGCCAGGTGGCTCTCCAGGGTGCACACTAACCACGCGTGCCCTCCCTGCAACTCCCATTGGCTGTGGTTCCCGGTCAATGGGAGCTGCAGAGCTGGCACTGGTGGGGGCAGCGTGAGGCACTTCCCTGATCGCCCCTGCACCTAGGGGCCGCTGGAACATGCTGGTCACTTCTGGGAACTGCACAGAGCCGACTGGACTTCTAACAGCCTGGCAACCCTAGCTTCCCCCACAGTGGGGCAACCCAGCATTCGCGGCTCCAGCCCCCCAGGTCGGGGGAGGGGGGCGTGGCGGGAAGATGGGAGAAAGAGGGTGCCAAGGCTTAGGGCTTCTGGCCCACGGCGTGGAAACTTGCTGCAGATCAAACGAAATGAAGCAGCAGGCAGGATTCGGCCCACAGCCCATAGGTTCCTCACCCCTGGCTTAAAGTATTCTTTATGCCATTTTATTAAACATTTACAAATATTAAGAATCAAGACTAAGCAATTCATTAGCACCTATAAAGTGTGCACATTTATTACATGATAAACAACAAGCTAATGCCTTCTGCTTTATGTATAGTTCACATGAGATATTGTTACTCCATTCTTTGATTAAGGATTCAATAGCTAGTTACACAGTGTACCTAACCTTTTGAAAATGCAAACTCTTGATTCAGAAAAGAATAATTATAGGCATGTAATTAAATCCTTACTCAGGAGACTGGGATGGGGAAGGAGACCTTTCAAACGTCCCAGACAGAGCAGGAGACGCTGGCAACAATGGCTCTCGAGGAATTCCTGATGGAATAGTGTTTGTACTTGCATCCACATTTAGGTTCTAAAAAAACAAAACAGTATGTTTAAGCAGAAGTGTTAGGACTGCCCTTGTTCTTGTAGGTTATTTACTTGCAAAGTAACAAGAAAACGACATGATTTACATATTAATTTACAGTGAACAGCCACAGATCAACAGGCTAATGCTGAAAATAAAGGAAGCTAAGTTAACTCTCCGGGGGGGGGGGAAGAAGAGAGCAGCCACGGTTTGACCATGAAGATGGTTCAGAGTCTCCCAACATCCTTTTCACCTTCAAAAAAAAAAAGTGTTTACTCCTGGGGCTTTGGTCAGACAGATCCAATGGGTACAGCAATCCAACAGTAGGATCCTTACTGAACTACCTTGTGTAGCCATTTGGAACCAATGACACCATGAAGAGGTGCTGTTCTTGGACTCTGTTCCAAAAGCCTAATTTTTTTAGCTGGCGAAGCTTGTTTCAATGCCTCTTAATGGAGCACCTTGACAACAGGATCACTTCTTTCAACTTGGTATTTTGCAAAGGCAAGTTCTCGGTAAGTGTCTCATGGGCTTTGGTACTTTTTTTGAGAAGAGCGTGTGGCATCACAGCCTTTAGAGAAGTGCTCTTACCCAAGGCCTAAAGGGCCCTTTTCATGCCCATCTGAAGTGGGACTGACCACTGAATATGAAAAACACCTTAAAATTTTCCACTGCTCAAAAGACTGATCCTTCCTCCTGGGCAAGGCCTAAGAGGATCTAGACAGACTAAAATCCAAATGGCTTCAAAAGTAAAAAGCAATTTTACCCATCCTAAAACCAGCTCTAACAACATAACCAATTTAAAATATTAGATTTGTCCATCAAGAGAGACAGAAGGGAGAGGTTGGCTCTGACACCACTTTGGCAAGCAGAGAAGGGAAGTAAGGGGAGCAGAGTGTGTGTGTACAGGGGATTTTTTTGTTCTCCAACTACCACTCAGAATTGGTTCCATGTTCACGTGGCTAGGCATGAGATCCCTACAGTGGGGTCTGTAGATAGGCAATTCCATGAAGGTGAACAGTAATCCGTGAGGTGGTTATGATACTGACTATGAGACCACATACTGACTATGCAGTTTCTCTGAAGAAAATCAGAGAGTTACACTTTAGTGAAAACGAAATCACGAGCAGCTGCATGCAGCACGTACATAGTTTGTGTTTAGGAATTAACTAGAAAAAAAAAAGAGTACCACTCTGCACCCACAATTAAGTGGGTAAAGGCTTGATCCTGCAAGGTACCGAACATCCTGGCCCAAATCCAGCACAGCACTTATGCACATACTTAACTATAATTATATGAGTAGTCTCAATAGAAGCATATGATGGATTTGGGCCTGAGTGCTCAACTCCTTACGTGATTGAGCCCTAAAATTTCATGGTTAGAGAACAGAGACAATGTGGGTGAGGTAATATCTTTTATTGGCCCAACTTCTGGTTGTGTGAGAGACAAGCTTTCAGGCTTATGCAGAGCTCTTTTGAAACAGTTTCCCAAGCTATACTTAGAGGGGGAGTATGGTGCATGATGAGCAAAGGACTGGATATCTAGGTTCTGTTCCTGTCTTTTATATAAGAGCGGCCATACTGGGTCAGACCAAAGGTCCATCTAGCCTAGTATCCTATCTTCCAATAGTGGCCAATGCCAGGTGCCCCAGAGGGAATGAACATAACAGGCAATCATCAAGTGATCCATCCCCTCTCGCCCATTCCCAGCTTCTGGCAAACAGAAGCTGGGACACCATCCCTGCCCATTCTGGCTATCAGCCATTGATGGACCTATCCTCCATGAACTTACCTAGTTCTTTTTTGAACCCTGTTATAGTCTTGGCCTTCACATCCTCTGGAAAAGAGTTCCACAGACTGACTGTGCGTTGCGTGAAAAAATACTTCCTTTTGTTAGTTTTAAACCAGCTGCCTATTAATTTCATATGGTGACCCCTAGTTCTTGTGTTAGGAGAAAGAGTAAATAACACTTCCTTATTTACTTTCTCTACACCAGTCATGATTTTATGACTTCAATCATATCCACCCCGTTGTCTCTTTTCCAAGCTGAAAAGTTCCAGTCTTATTAATCTCTCCTCATACAGAAGCCGTTCCACACCTCTAATCATTTTTATTGCCCTTTTCTGAACCTTTTCCAAGTCCAATACATCTTTTTTGAGATGGGGCAACCACATCTGCATGCAGCATTCAAGATGTGGGCATACCATGAATTTATAGAGGCAATATGATATTTTCTGTCTTATTATCTATCCCTTTCTTAATGATTCCCAACATTTTGTTCGCTTTGACTGCTGCTGCACATTGAGTGGATGTTTTCAGAGAACTATCCACAAGGACTCCAAGATCTCTTTCTTGAGTGGTAACAGTTAATTTAGACCCCATCATTTTATACGTATAGTTAGGATTATGTTTTCCAATGTGCATTACTTTGCATTTATCAACATTAAATTTCATCTGCCATTTTGTTGCCCAGTCACCCAGTTTTGTGAGATCCTTTTGTAGCTCTTCGCAGTCTGCCTGGGACTTAACTATCTTGAGTAGCTTTTATCATCTGCAAATTTTGCCACTTCTGTTTACCCCCTTTTCCAGATCACTTATGAATACCTTGAATAGGACCGGTCCCAGTACAGACCACGGGGGACACCACTATTTACCTCTCTTTTCAACTGATTTGTGTAACCTGGTTTGAATAAACCTCTGCATCTGGTCGCTCATCTGTAAAATAAGGATAGTAATACTTGCCTACTTCAGAGGGCTATTGTGAAGCTTGGAAAAAAATGATATGAAATCTTGAGATGAAAAGTATCATCTAATAATCCCCACTTTAAACTCTGTTGAGCACGCCCACAACACCCTACAGGGTGCAATCAAACTCCCTTGGAGGCCAATCCTTTCCAAATAGGAGCACATGCACAACGTAGCAGAAACCAGAACCAAGGCAAACACCGCACCCAATGTGGCAATAGACTGTGCTGTCACGAGACCACCCTTGCCTAACCAAATTAGAGCTGCCTTTGTAGAAGAGTGGAGACTTGTTATATTTGAGTAAATAAGATATGAATCTGTAAGAATTAAAACAGATAAAATTTTCAAGAGACTGTGGACCGGTCTTAAATATCCTTAAATATGGCCAAAATGCACAGACTACAAGTTGGTGGAAAAGTGTGTGTGGGGCGGTGGGGAGGAGAAGGATGAGGAAAATGGGTGAAGGTGGTTTAAAAACCACTTTTGCACTGTTCTGTAAATGGCTATACCCCTCGTTAGAACAACCTTATGGCTTCTTTAATGGACACCATTACCAGCATCAGTGGACAGAAAATGTAACCAAGGATTGCTACGACATAGGGCACTTCCCCAACCCCTTTCCCACCCACCCTGATATGGTGGTAGTAAAGAGGATATAGTGGAAGAGAGGGAATGTTGTGTAAGCCCCTTTATGATGCTCTTTACCACTAGTGGGTCACCCTTACACCGAGGAAGGTGATCACCCCTGAGCCAGTTAAACCAATTTTGTAAATAGTCCACAGTAACCCTCCTGCACCGGAGGCTCTGGTTATATTATAACTGGGAATCAACATACACAATGTCGATAAAGTTGCAACAAAAATAAAGCAACCAAATTTAAACTGAAGGGTTGGTTCCACAACCCAGACTCTTTGATACTCACTGTGGAATTAAATCTCTCTTGGAGAGCACCCTGGGTCCGCAGATTGCATTCTTTAGGACTCTGTCCTCTTCACTATGAGCAGCTAGAGACAGCCTCAACTCTGAATTACATCTCTAGCTGCATCCTGAAAGCACAGTCTGCCAGGTCATTTTGGTGTATTTTTACATTCTCCAACTGATCTCACACATCAGCTCCTGGATTCAATTGGTTTAGCAATACTTCTTATTTCAACTAACAAGCCTAGTGTTTAGAGAGAGTTTCCGGGCTCTTTCCTTATATTTCAGAGGTTGAAAATGTGTTTTCCTCACCTGCATCTGTTTTCTAGGTGTTTAAGGGGAGGAAAAAAAACTGACAACAAATCAAACTATGAGCAAATTGCGGTGTAAGATTATTTTTCACTTAATGCTATCAAAAAAGTAACAAGCAGTAACCAGACTCAGCTGGGAACACTGAAAAAGGTGATATCTGTTTTCATCACTAGCAACTAATTAAAAATAGTTACTCTGGGGCACCAATACACCACACCACCTCAGTTATCCTTCAACAAGGAGGATGCATTCTTGCCAACCAACTGCTAGGATGAGAATGGAGATGACAGCAAAGGAGTTATACACAGAACTACAGTTTTCCATGACCTACATAAAAGCATGGTTAAGTTCTACTTGAATTATGTTTTTACTGCATAAACCACTGAATTTGAAACAAGGAGGTATGTAAAGCAGTAAACTCAAACTACTCACTCTTTCCTTTGACGTTCCCATTATGACACTGGACAGTCTGTTTTCAAACAAGTCTTCAGTCTTCAAATTGCCTGCAGCCCCAGGTAATGGAGGGAAGCTAGATAATCCCAATTCAAAACTAGGAGATGGAGGCTTTGGAGGTGGCGGAGACTGCGTTTGACCTCTCTGTAACAACAGAAGTGTGACATATGAAATCAGACTATAGTTAAGGAAGATTATGGGACTCTGATACAAAACTATTAAGCACCAAAAATAGGAAAGACCAGGGCCTCAATGTTACTCACCATCGGATCCCTAACAAGATTTAAATCTGACTAAAAGATACAATGGGAAGTGAGGAATATAAGCCCTATTTACACACACAAGCTGTACTGCTTTAACTATACTTGAATAGTTACTGAGTTACAAGTGTGAATGTAGTTATTCCAGTATAACTTATGCCTGTAGAGGAAGGGGAATAAGCTGTATCACTATAGAGCACCTTTGTACGGAGAACTGTCTCTACACTAGTGGTTATACTGGTGCAACTATTTTGATAAATAAAAATCACCATCCCTATCCAAAATAGTTATACAGGTACAAAGTCCAATGGTAGACCAGGCCATTTGCTGAACAGTGTTTGGTAGCTTACTTACGCATGGTCTGTCACACTGCACTGTAGAAATAGCAGCTTATTTCTCCCCATCGAGTCACTATTTTAGAAATTATAGGACTTAATACAAAAAAGTAAAAGTTACACAGCAAAACTACTATTTGTCCAGGTGGTTTCAGTGTAAAAAAAAAAAAAAAACCACCACACACCAACAACAAAAACACACCACAGGAGTAACTGAAGTTTGGATTATACTCAAGCAGAGTACAATTTCAGAGACAGAAAAAGTAACAAAAGAAATCTCCTTCACATTTTGGGGGGGTGGGGTGATTTTTAATGTGTTTATAAATTGTATCTAGATTGAGGAGTAACAACTGTTTTACACTACATTGTACTTTTCCTACTTGGAAATTATATATAATTCTGGTATATACCTTGTAAACAAGGAAATAATTGTTTTGTGACTGCTCAGGCCTGTTTCAGGGCAGGAACTGAGACATGCCCATAATGGTTACCTACTCTGACAGGAGAGTTGCTTAAGCAGGAACAGTTTAAGAGTCACCTCTGCAGAGTCACACTTGTGGAACTGGCATCTCCTGGCATTGAACTGTGAAGGGTGGGCCCCTCACCCCTCATTTCACCTTCTCTCAGAAGGATTCCAGGTGTATAAAAGAGGAAATGACCCCATCCGCCCTGTATTTCCTTCCATTATCAGCAGCCTAACTTCTGGACTCAAGTGGATATACTTACTCCCAACCTAAAGAAACCGCTTTTAACTCCAGAATGCCAGTGTGGAACTTTCACCTTCTACGAAGTTCACAAACCTCGAAGAGGCTGGATAAAAAGGCAAACCACCAAGTTCACCATTTGGAAATATTATAGTAGATCAGGGAAATCTAAACATTTTCCTGATGAGCATGTTACCTTCACTTTATGCATCTGGAATGACCTGAGTGACTCTGGAGTAAGTATCATGAAGGGGTAGCCTCTTTATAATCAGGGAACATCCTGGCCCCAATGCAGACCCCAGATGTAGTCTGGATAAAGGTAGCAGGTACCTAGCTAAGGAACCAGTCTGTGGAGCAGTTTAAGTACAGACATTGAATGACTGATGTCTGAGACCGATAGGGTCAGGACAGCAGAGTACTCTTTCTTGATTTAAAAAGAAAGAAATATCCCATTGATGCTTGTGGTTAGTTGGGTGAATACAGCAGGGCTGAAGTCTGTCCTGTGAAAATGTGTGAAATATATGCCAACATCGCCTTACAGGTGGCCATGTCCATGTGCTGTATGGCTGAGGTATAGCACTACACACCAGTAACTCCAAGGAACTGGTGTTCTTAATCTCAACTGGGAATCCCAGATTTACACATTAAGTGTTTTCCCACTGGACACTGTCACTACCTGAGCACTCAGATTCTGGTAAATTTAACACAGTATAACAGCATGATACTGCCACTGTGCTCTATCTAGCATAGAAAGATCTGAAATCAGGTTTGTTTTTTGGTGTGGTGTTCCCTCTGAAATCCATCTCATTTCACCCTGGGCCAACTTTAGATGTACCTTAGAGGCTTTTTCTCTTCAAAGATGTTTTTAGAGCTGAAACAAATTACAATCAGAGTTCTGACTCATTTTAATAGGTGTTCCAGTTATACCATTGATTCTGCATCTGTACTTGAAATAGATTGCCTGCTATACTTAGCAGATGAAGGCAGCAGCAGAGATTCCAGGACTAAAGCACTGGCAATGCAGCACCCAAGAGTCCAATCCAGTCAGAATCAAGATTTTTGATGCCGAAGCAGTGGGGTCTGAAGAGCAGCTGCCACCTTTTTTTTAAAAATAATATATTTAAATTGCTTTCTTCTAGAAGCTTGCAGGATTGTCAGTGTGCGGCTGACTGCATATAAGCAGGACAAACATACAGCTACAGTGATCCAGCAATGGCTGATAGCAAAGACTACTTCAGAAAAGGTCTGAAGTGTTGCTGCTTTGTTTCTGAGACAGGCCATAGTGTTTGTGAACTAGATGTCTCCAAGCAATAATGGTCTTGGACAGTTTCAAAGTCACGGCACCAGCACATGATTAGAAATCAGACATTTTCAGAGCCAATAAGTGGTGCAGGACTGAATGAGACTTAATAGGTACAAGAGCCACCTCAAATCTGGGCCCAAAAACAGTGGTGTCATCCAGACATGTTGGTTAGGGAACTCAGCTGAACAGTTTCAGAGCAGAAAAAGGCCCAGGTCCTACTGGGGAGTTGGTGTCAGAAACACCACCTTAGCTAGTAAAGCTGATGCTGGACATCTGATTCCAGAATTGGTCAACTGGGCCTGAAGAGTCACTGCCATGAGCAGGAGTGAATGAGGTGGCTCGCCTGAGGTCGTCCAGACAGTACCTGTGCCTAATGGGTACCATTTCTTCTTTGTTCTGCTAACTAAACAAACCTGTACCAACCTGTCAATCTAAAATGTAAGTAGCAACTGAAAGGACAGAAGAAAAAGAAAGGGAAGCACCAAGGACACGATGTGTAATCCAAGACCATTGCACATTTGGCTGCTAAAAAACAACTGAAGGGCAGCTGGGCCCATTCTCCCTTTTATACCATTTGAATTTCTGGGAGGGGCTTTAACAAACAGACCCTGCTGTCTAGAAGATTCCACAGCTCAATGCCACGAGGCACCAATCCCACAAGTGGGACGATGCAGAGGCCACCTCCTTCAGTGAAGATCTGCAGTAATAATGTCACGAAGAAAAAAAAATGACATCATAAAGGGAAAAAAAATGGTAAAACTTCATGAAGTCATCTACCAAGAAACTGTGTTGCAACAGTGGTCAAATGGGGTATGGCAATGAAGTTTTAAATAAGTGAATCGAGGGAAAGGCTGTGGGTATAAAGTTAAATCAAATCTCAGGTCCCACAACAGAGTTACATATACTGACTAAAGTTATTTTTTGGTGTAAGCCCAAGCTTTTCAAACTTCAAGTCTGATGTTTTATTTATGCCTAAAATTAAAGGTGTATTAAGTTACAGATTAACAGCATTTTTTGGTAACTTTCAATACTGTTAGTGCAGGCCACATTCAAATCCTACTCCTTGAGTTTTATGTAAATGGCAACTATGCTCATAAACCACCCATCATAAAAGGAGCTCACTAGTGTCTGAAATGAGGTGTTGTGTGGTGTTCCCTCTGAAATCCATCTCATTTCACCCCTTGCCAACTTTAGAAGCACCTTAGCAGCTTCTTCTCTACAAAGATGTTTTTAGAGCTGAATCATACTACAATCAGCATTCTGCCTCATTTTAACAGGTGTTCCAGTTCTACCATTGATATTGCATATGAATTAATCACTGTAAGATACTTAATTCTTTAACTCTTAATTCTACTATGGTGCATTAGTGATTTTCAAGTTCCAAATGAGGCATGTCTGAATCTCAAGGAATCCTTGTACTTACTTTGTCAACTCTCCCTGGAAGTTTAAATATACAGGCATTCAGACGAAGTATCATCACAAGTAGTAAGAATGGGGGTAATGTATCATTAAAAAAACGTGGCATTTCAAATTCTCTCAAACCTTATGCATTAATAATCAGATGCCCCCCCCAGATATTTGGTGTTCATTACGTGGTGTATTCTAATGTGGATTTAGATGTATTTTCCTTAACAAAACAGGCAGTTATCTTTAGTTTACTATTAGAATGCATGTTTTCTTGTGCAACATCTAATTTAAGCCTTGTCAATTATTCTTCATGGTAATCTTGATATCAAGTTCTTTGTTACCCATATTTCACAACACTCACTGTAAACTTGTCCTCCCTTTTCTTTCGATAGCCATATGAATTTTTCCTAGAAGAGAGAACATACAATTAACATCAGAACTTTGCCTAGATGTGATATAAAAATAATTTATTTTTGCATTACCTTATTACAGTCACTTTCATTCTAAAGGCTTATTATACAAGTCATTATTTTAGAGAGACAGTGACTAGTAAGGATTAAGAGGAAACATGATTGAAGAAAAGCTCATACTAGAAGAAAGGCACGAAGTTTACACAAGACAACCCCCTCCCCTTTTGTTTTTTTAAATCAAAGAATTCCCCTGTTCAAAGTACAACTCTATCTAAAACTATCAGGAAGTCTCAGGGACACCCAAAACCATCCAATAAACAAGGGCACGCGCCACTTCCCGCAGCTCCCATTGGCTGGGAACAGAGAACCATGGCCAAAGGGAGTTGAGGGGCTCCATGCTGGCAGATGCCCCAGGTAAACAAAATGACAATGTATTAGATATCCAATTCAATGATTCCATGGAGCAGGGATCGGCAACCTTTGGCATGCGGCTTGCCAGGGTAAGTACCCTGGCGGGCTAGGCGGGTTTGTTTACCTGCCACAGCCACAGGTTCGCCCGATCACGGCTACCACTGGGCGCGGTTCGCTGCTCCAGGCCAATGGGGGCGGCGGGAAGCGGCGCAGGCCAAGGGATGTGCTGGCCGCCACTTCCCGCCGCCCCCATTGGCCTGGAGTGGCAAACCACACCCAGCGGGAGCCGCAATCGTCCGAACCTGCGGATGGGGCAGATAAAGCGGCCCGGCCCACCAGGGTGCTTACCCTGGTGAACCGTGTGCCAAAGGTTGCCGATCCCTGCCATAGAGTTTAAAATCATTAAATTTTGGTGTAGACCTATTTATAAGCCAAATCCCCGCTCTTTGATGCGTCACTTTTTTACCAAAAATATTTGGCTTATGAACGAGTATATAAGGTAACTATATTATGTGTTAGCTGGGATACAATCCCAGCTCACATATTCTAGGTGAATTATCTACAGTATTAGACTGAGTGCAAAGTGTTAACTATTTCACTCAGTCTTGCAGTTACGACTGAACACAGTAAGCAGGACCAACTGAAAGTGCCATTTTTAAACAGTCACTTAAGAAAACCAATGCACTTAAACTGGGCCCCCATTTAAATATTTCCTGGAGATTCTATAAGCCATACAACTCTTATATAATTTTAGAAAACAGATGATTTTAGCACAAGTCAAAAACGAACACGAAAGAGGTTAGAACGTTAACATTTTACAGCCACAACAGGTTACCTCTGTTATTTAACATTAATGTATTGGTTAATCAACTGAACATGGTCAGAGAAAAAATTCTCAGAGCCTGAATTATATTGAAAAGACATAGCTATAGTTAACTATTGCTCTTTTAATGTTACTCCTGTTTTTACAAGTGTTTACTCTTGTGTATACAAAAAAATACTCAGAAGCAGACCACAGAGGGTATTTATATGAACTGTTAAAAACACTCACCTTCCTCTTCCTAAGCCAGGGGAAGAGTCAATATTAGTCTGTTCCATTCGTCCAGTTCCTATATCCCTCTTGGTATAACTTGTAGTAGTATTTTGCATCCGTGTCCTGTTTTGCCCCGGCTGCCTTGTCTGTGGACTCCTGACACCATTAATTAAACGATCAGCAGAAAAGTTGAATATTGTAGGACTGTCTAGAAGCCCAGGTCCCCTTTCTGCATTGGGTATGGTGTGCCGTAGATGTGATTTGCTAGGATTCCTACAAATCAGGAATACATTGTATTAAAAAATGGTTATGTGAACGGCTTAGCACTTTATTGTATATTTATATAATCCTTATAAATTGATCATCCTCTTAAAAAGAGATGGATTTTCATTTGGATACATGTAAAGTATTTTTAGCAAAATTAAAGCTTGGAACTTCTATTCTAATTTAGTACTTGATTAAAACTATTCTAAACTTAAATATATAATGAATAAATCTGCTGATAATCATTTCAAATAGTGTAATTGCAGCCAAGGACTTCATGAAAGACATTCCAAATAGAGTATTCTCAGAGCTGAAGTGGCAAACCACTCCAGAAAAACAATTTTAGTAATCTGCATTACAGAAAGATCCAAGTCCTCACTGAAAATGTGACAAAGTTAAGAAGCCAAACTCTGATCATGCACATAGCAGACCAGTTCAGAGCTACGAGGCAGCAGTGCAATCAATCACTTTTAATATTGCTGTGTCTTTATCTTGATATCAGTAAGTATCATCTGACCATATTTAATCTTACAGCAAGTTTAATTTAGTGTGCACTTTGCAAGTTAAAGATTTTTGTTAAGCTATGAAGAATAAAGTAACTTGCAGAACTCCTGGAATACAGATATTTTAAAAAATGATTATATACATTTTTATTTGGTTGAACTTGCCTGCTTCTGGGAGGATACTGTCTGAGTGAAGTCAATGGAGAAGCAGGGGGCTTGAAGGTTGGTGATGTAAAGCCATTGATAAATCCAGCATTGGGAAATGGCGTTACCTAGAGAATAAAAACATTGTGTGGACATACATTTGTAGATTACATACTATGTAGCCAAATTGATTGTTTATCTTCGGAGTGGAAAATACTTGTTTATACTAAAGGTCTTGAACCTCCACGGGTTTGTCAAAATAGCAACTATGGTATTCTTTAAAGAAAAAGGGAATTAACCTCCAAATTTATCTATTTCCAAGATCTAATCCTCTTTGCTTGTTCTGAATGTCTAAAGTTATTTTTAAATCTATATCCCATGTCATTCTACGCAGGACAGTATTCCAAAAAGGATTTTATTTTTTCATTTTAGTTTAAGATTGTGTAACAAGAGAACATTTTTTGGCCAGTGCGTGCATGACAAACTCATTCAAGAGGAAGTTTATAAACAGCCATTACGCATGCTCAAAAGATGACAACTGGAGACCACAGTAAAAAATATTTGTAATATTAATCTAATTTTCTCCCTTATGTGGTCTAAGATGTGTTTCCTATATTCTAAAGCATCAGAACATGCATGGAGCTTTACAGACTAGTAAAACGGTGTCCATGTCCCAAAGAGTTTACAATGTCAAGACAGTGACAACATTCAGCTGGAGTAGGAAGAGGACTACAGCAATAGGCTTACATGGCTATTTAAGTAACTAATTCATGCTTCATGAAGATTAGGAGTTTCCTCCCTTACTGGTTTGGATTCAAAGATAACTCGAGGGAGATTAAAGTGTTAGCCTCATAGAATAAGTGCATTTTGAGAAAGACGTTTAAGGCAAGGCTGGATGCATGACAGACAGGGTCAGGAAGGGGGTTCCAGGAGCGAAGAGCCACACAGAAGAATGAGATGTGTGAAAGGAGGAGGACATGAAGCCATTCAGCTTTGGAAGAGGAATAGTATTAGGTAGCACAGTGTTAAAAGGTAATAGAAAACAAAACCGATAATATTATGCCCCAACATCCCAGTTTGGTATTTCTAGTACCTTGTTACTCCATCCCACTGCACAATACATTATAGATTCATGTTACATTTTTTGGTGGTGGTAAAATAAGCTCACTTTCCGATACTCATTTTCAAGTGTGCCAAATAGGAGGATACAATCAATCACATCTCATGTTTTAGCCGTTTGAAGGTAAAAATAGGTGTGATTGTTATGTTGATTATACAAATGATTTTGAACAGCGCTGACATCCAGATTTGAAAATTATGGACGGTGTAAAAAACAACTTTTGTTCAGAGTTCACAGTAACTATTGGAATGGTCAGTTAGCTCGTTAGTACAACTTTTAAGAAGTGGGCACAAATCTTCATTGAATATGCAAAAGACAGTAAAACAGGTAAGTTAAATTTATTCAGTATGCCAAGGAAACTACTACTTAATCAGTTAATATATATTGACCTATTTAATACTACAAGCATTCAACAATAGTAATCACATATCAATACTTCAGACACGATCTCTTAAAGTACATTTAGTCAAGTACAGTATTACAAATGTATACAAAACATGTTGACTGCCAAGGCTAGCAACCTTTTGCTTACAGTTTCTCCATATGCTAGATCTCTTCCTCATCTTCTGAGGAGTTTGCTGAGAAAATCTTACCAAAAGTCTGCTACAGGAACCCTCTAATTTTTCATGTTGTACGGCACCACTCTACAGGTGTATTACTGTTGGTCTTGCTCCCAATATGAAAATGAGGACGTAATAGAATGCTTATTGAATGGGAGCTACCAAAGTCAAAGTGCGACTCTTAAATTTTAGACTTCCTTTTTACTATTCCTATCCACCTTCTACTAAATGTTCACGCTATCATTGAGCATACTAATAATCGTTTTAGTTAAAAATTTAAAACCAAATTTAAGGTTACTTCTTACAATGGCACAAGCACCAAGAAAATTGTCTTTCTTGCCTAAATTAGTTCAAAGTAAAGTTTGTTGCTCAAAAAAACCCCAACAACCCACCACTGAATGTGGTAACAGTAAGACCATAGTCTCAATTAATACTTGCATCAGCAAGATGATTTGAGAATTAACTTTCAAACAGCTATGAAAAGAGTACTACATAAATGCTTAACAGTGCCAAGTCCTTCTCAAAGAATTGGAGGCTACATTATGTCAACCAAAAACTATATATAAACAGAAAAAGCATTGTCTGGAAATGCAAAGAGCATCACAAAACACTGACAATTGAAATTTAACAGTGCAGTTTTCACACCACAACTTACTGTTAGCATAAAATAAAATGCCAGCAAACAGGCCATCATCATCAAGGGATTAAAAAAGTGACACTGTTCAATACTTTAGGCTTCAAATTTAGGCAATTAAAAATTTTATAAAGTCTATTAATACAAGTGAAGATTCAGTGAAAAAGGCTTGCTCTGAAGTTACAGCGTTTGTAATCCAAACACTGCAATATAGCACTAGTTGTGAAGAACCAGAAAGTCAAGTATTTTTTGTTGTCCAAACTGAGTGAAATGCACGAGGTAAATAAATGGTTATTCAGGTTAATTCAAATCAATCTTTAAGAGATAGTCTTTTAAATGATCAGTACCCTTTCCTCAGAAGGGCCCTTAGTTTGAAAACATTTCATTACCATCGTCGTCTTCCATTTAGGGAATGTCTTTTCCTTCCAATTCTAATTGAACCCGCAACATGCTTTTATTGACTGACATAACCAGTGATACTGTTGGACACCAAGAATGTGACCATGCTTAAATGTGGTACAATTACTGCCGTTACTGAGTTTTCATTTGTCCACATCTCCAAAACAAAAACAAAAACAAAAAACAACCCACAAACAAACAAGTTTCTAGGTGTTACTTAATCAGGACATGGGTGTCCAGAGATGAACGTGCACGCCATCAAGTCTCCTCCCCCATTCTATAGCTCCCTTTAAACACCAACTGCAAAGGGTTCTGGCTGCTTTCCCTGTGTCAAATGTGTTCACCACAACTTTCTAATTATCTTGCCTTTCAATACACAGGGAGTTCGTTCAAGGAGACTTTAATCGTTTGCCAAGATTTCTAAATAGTCTCTTTCTAATTTTGAGCACTGCTACCCTAGTTTATTTTAACCTCAATTAAAGATAGATGTGAGGGTGGGAGGATGGTTCCACTTGTGACAACCCTGGCCCCCACCAATCAATGACACTCCATAGCCAGTGGGTGCACAAAAAGCTGCATGCATGAATACAACTGCCCAAACAAGAAGCACAAGTGGAGAGCGGAGCTTGCTGAAGTAATTCTGATATGGCACTAAGTCACACATTCTTCTTCACCTATGTACAACATGCCTCAGGTGGCCCATAACCAGGATTCATCACCAAATTTGGTCTGCTGGTTGGATCATTAGCTTCCCTGACTTGGGCTGGGTACTGCCAGGGAGTGTGACATGAATGCTGACGCAAGAGTAAGTGGGGAGGAGGAAAGACAGTAGAATACATAGAATGTGGGGTCTGTCAAGTAGACAATGTGACTGCACTAGCAACGTAGACCTAAGGCTGCTGCTAGTTTTGAATATAGAAAACGTAAGATTTCTTTAAATCAGTACTTCCTTAGAGATTATCAACAATTCTTAAACCTAATAATAAAGATGTTAGTTTTTCAACTGTCAGGATGTGTCAAATAGGGCACATTAACCTTGCAAGAGAAAAATCTTAAATTTTAAACTGATGTGCTAGATTATCCCCTCTCAACTAGCCCTGTTAGGTGCTTTCCACACTTAATATTGAAGTGGATTTATAAATACACTCATACACATATGCTATGAAGATGACTTTTTAAAAAGTATTTAATAGTATTACTCAGAGGAGGATTCTTAAGTGTCTAACCTTTAGAACAAAAAACCCTATTTGAATTTAAAGCATGAGGAAAGTAACTTCTGAAGCCTCCCTTTTTTTTTTTTTTTTTTTTTTTTTAAAAGAAAGAAAGAAGAAACCAGATGCCTCTTTCAAAGAGAGGCTCTCATACTCCAAAATATGGACTGCCAATGTCCACTTTCAAGAAAAACCCACACCACATACAATCAGAAGAGTGGAACTTAGATTGTGACCTCCCACATGCAGTCCTTCAAACTGAATGCTAAAGACTCTTCCTGAAACAATTAAACATGCAGCAGCTGTAGACAAATGCTTCTCAAACTCCTAAACACTTACCAATGTTGGATCAAGATAGCTGTGCGTAGTAGACCAGGTCTGTGGGGCAATTAAGCTGTAAAGAGGAAACTGCTGTTGGGGACTGTATACTGGAGGTAAATAAAAGGATGCTGTATAACGCTGTTGTGTGTAGAGGTTCATGTCCAGAGGTCTATATCCATTCTTTGGCAAAAATGTATTTATAGCTATTGCCTTTGCTTTTATCCTTGCCTGCAAGATAGAGTTAGATTACTTAAGTACACCAACCTATTATGTTAATAGTAAATAAAATAGTACAAACAGCTTTATTTACCTTAATTGGTTTTCCTTGGAAAGTTTTCACTTCTTCTCTAAGGTATCTGTAAGCCTTATAAAATTGACATTTGTAAAAAAAAGTTGTCAAATATCCATTATGAATATTAATTTAACACAACAACTAGTATTAAAGGAATTTTGATAAACCAAGAACTATTGCTATATTTGAAGTATCACCAGTACTAAATGGAGGTAAGTAATTGCATAAACAGTCAATGCAAGTTAGAACACTTCAGTCATGGAAGTTAAATTTGATATAGAATTACACAGCTTTTTAAAAAGGCATTTAGAAAGTCTAAATCAATATTTTATTTCTTAAGATAGGGTGATGCTTCAAGATTATTATGCTACAGAATATCACCATTTGTAGTAAAGTTAAAAGAACAGGAGTACTTGTGGCACCTTAGAGTAACAAATTTATTAGAGCATAAGCTTTCGTGGGCTACAACCCACTTCTTCGGATGCATCCGAAGAAGTGGGTTGTAGCCC